TGAGGGGTGTGCTGACATGGGGCGGCGGTGCCATGCGGACTGCCACTGGGGCCTTCGGCGGAACTCCCAATGGGGCCACGAACCGTGTGAGGGGTGTGCCGAATGGGGCGGCGGTGCCATGCGGACCCTGCCATTGGGGTCTTCGGTGTAGTTCCCTATGGAGCCGCAAACCGTTCGAAGGGCGTGCCGACATGGACTACGGAGAACAGAGGCACGACGTTGACGATGGCGATGTTGATGACGCCGATGATGGCGGTAATGATCACGATGAAGATTACGATTATGATGGTGATGACGGCGTGCGGAGAGGAGAGGCAGAGGCAGAGATGGAAGGAGGGAGGAGGGAGGAGGGGGCAGAGGGAGGAGTGAACGCGGGGCGCCGTCTCTTTGAAACGAGGACCCAACACCACAGGATGGTTAGGAAAAAAATACGTTTCGGTCCTTTCAAAGGCCTTTAACAAAAACAATGTATTCGGAAAGGTGTTCAAGTCCTCGTGTGGAGGGGAACTCTTCTCGGGGACCTTCCGGCGTCAATGAAAACCGGGGCTAGAGAAGCTCATTTATGGAAGGTGCGAACACCAGATATAGCTAAAGTTGCAGCATTGATAGTAGCAGTAATGATACGAGTAGGAGTAGTAGTAATGGGTGTTTTTTGGGCGATGGTAGTAATAGTCATAGTAGTAATACGCAGCAAAGAAATATATACGATTGATCCAAGCGAGAATGAAGTATCTACCAATCGAAAGAACGATGACCCACAATGTATTGGAAATAACGATCCAATGACAGACAATCATACGAATAACAAACAATTGGATATATATATATATATGTATATATTTGTCGTTGGTAGGGAGGTATGCAACCGTAATATGGTACTACTAGTAATAGTACTACTACTACTACTACTACTACTCCTACTACCACCAATACTACAACAACAACTACTACTACTACTACTACTACTACTACTACTAATGCTACTAGTACTAGTACTAGTAGTAGTAATGATATTAGAAATGGTACTCGTAAAAGTACTAGTACTAGATATGGTGATAGTAATAGTAATAGCAGTCGCCGTACGAGTCGCAATAGTAGTAGTAGTAGTAGTAGTAGTAGTAGTAGTAGTAGTAGTAGTAGTAGTGGTAGTAGTAGTAGTAGTAGTAGTAGTGGCACTAGTAGTACTAGTAGTAGTACTAGTAGTAGTAGTAGTAGTAGTAGTAGAAGTAGCTGTTGTAGTAGTAGTAGTAGTAGTAGTCGTAGTAGTTGTAGTAGCAATAGTTGTAATAGTAGTAGTAGTAGTAGTAGCAGGAGTGATGGTCGAAGCCGGAGGAAGGGGAGGAGGAGAATCTGTATTGTAATCGTAGTACATGTAGATTGTATGGAAATATAGAAACGGCAGTAGTAGCATTGGTAATACTAGTCATAATAGTAGTAGCAATACTCGTAGTAGTAGCGGAGTAGTAGTCGTAGGAGTAGTACAAGTGGTAGTGGTAGTGGTAGTGGCAAGAGTAAGATGGTAACAGCAGTAAACGTACAAGTTGTAGCAGTGATGCTACTACCACTACTACTACTACTACTACTACTACTACTACTACGACTACTACTACTACTACTACTACTACTACTACTATTACTAATACTACCACCACCACGACTACAACTACTACGACTACTACTACTACTACTACTACTACTACGCCTACTACTACTGCTAAAATAGCTACTACTGCTACTACGACTACAGATACTCGTATTACTACTACGACTAGTACTACTACGACGACAACTACTACTACTACTACTACCACGAAAACTACGAATACTCGTACTACTACTACTACTACTACTACTACAACTACTACTACTACTACTACCACTACTACTACTACTACTACTACTACTACGAATACTACTACTACTACTACTACTACTACTACTACTACTGCTGCTACCACTACTACTACCACTGCTACGACTACTACTACTGCTACAACAACTACTACTACTACGGCTACGACTACTAGTATTACCCGTACGACTACTAGTACTACCACTACTACTACTACTACTACTACTACTACTACTACTACTACTACTACTACTACTACTACTACTACTGCTACTACGAAAACTACTACTACGACCACGACTACTACTACTACGATTACGACAACTACGGCTGCTGTTACTATGACTATCACTACTTCTTTTTCCATTACTACTACTACGACTACTACTACAACTACTACTACTACTACTACTACTACTACCACCACTATTACTACTACTACCAATACTGTTACAACGACTGCTACTACTAGTACTACTACTACTACTAATAATAATACTACTACTACTACTACTACTACTACTACTACTACTACTACTACTACTATTACGATTATTACGACTACCACACATTAATACAATTACTACTACTAATACTACTACTACTACTACTACTACTACTACCACTACTACCACTACTACTACTACT